AATTTAAGTTATTGCGTAAGCAAACTATGTTATTAATGTACATTATTGCATAAGCAAAATTTAACAATATTTACCAATTATTTTCAACTCTACCAGATTGCACGAAAGTTCTAATCACGACTTAATTGAATCATCCATTCCGATTATTTTAAAGAAATAGTGTGTATTACTAAAGTGATATGTTACATAAACATTGAACATTCAGGTCTAGTTCTTAAAATACATCCAAAGTCTAGCATTTAAGTGTTTAATGTTTGTTACGAAGTTACTGTAGGCCCAGTTGCGACAGAAAGAACCCACTGAACTACGTTTAAATGAATAAACATAATCAAAGGAAAGTGCCGAAGAAATTTAAACCTTCATAAAAAGTGCAGGAAGCTGGCCTAGGCGTTTAAATGAAAAAAATGGACGCGTCCAGCCCCAGGAGCGCAGGACGGTCGGCCGCGCGCCGGGCGCCGGGCGCGGTGCTAATGAATGTATCATTGGTGCGGAGGACAGCCCCGAGCGGAGTGCTCTGGCGGGGAGGCGCCCGCTCCGCTCCTCCCCCTCACGAACGCTTTCGAAGGGCGCGCGGGGGAGGGGAGCGCGAACGCGGGCGGCCGAACAGGTGTCAATTGACGGAACGTATAGTTTTAAATGGCCTGTTGGAACTGTAGACAAAACTAAAAATGCAACGATGGGTGGCGCTAGGTGGCGCCTAGTGCTGCTTGCCGTAACTCAACATTACAGAGGAAAAATAACACATTTGTGGAAATAAGGACTTGGAAATAAAGTACGTGTAGAACTTTCATGCAATTCAGTCCATAACCAGTCGATTCGATTTTTCTGGTTTTTTGAGTCGAGGTGGTTTTTGAGTGCAGAGCGCGCAACCAATTTGAAGGGCCCAATGGACCAGTATGGGAAGGTTGCAACACCGCTCCCGCCACGGCCGCCTGCGAACGACCAAGTTTTTCTATATTTTCATTTGACTGGATTGTTTTTTACAACGGAGCAAAATTCTCGACACAAATGGTTTCACACGTTACACATACTATACTACATGCTGACAACCTCATAGTGGCGAGTAGAAGGTACACGATGTTACGGACTTCACTCTTACTGAAACTCCAATCCTAAAATTTATTGTTCTTCAGACATTTTAATAAATTGTCGGAAACTTAGTATTCACAATAATATAATTGTGAATCTGGTAATGCGCAGATTGTACATCAGGAGCGCGCATAGCGTGCAACGGAACTTTTGCCCGCAAGCCAAAATTGCGGGTAGATACACGGGCATGGACAAAAACTAGACGAGACGATTGGCGAAGTTACGCAAGTTTCATCAAATCAATTTAGCATAAATGCTTGTCGATTTCAGAAGGTGTCAAAGCAGAGTTCTCATTTTTAAGATTTGGAAAATGTAGACAAATTTCCTAAATTTGCTACTTCGCAATCGGGTGACCTACTATACAGTACCTACAGATTTTCATTTTTAATTCATTGACCTTAGCTGTAATAAACGTTCATTCCAAAGATAGGTCCAAAAAATGTGTACACGTACAGTGAATAGATTTGGAATGGGGAGACCTACGGTTGTGATTCTTGATTGCCATTTTAGTAATTATTTGTCACATGTTATTACGATTACGCGTGTTCAAAATAACTCCCATTAGCAGCCAAACAGCGATGTCTAACTGCTGCAGTATAACATTTTTTGACCCCCCCCCTCTGTATTATGAGTAAGCGTTATGGAAATTTCAGTCAGCCACGCTTTCCAAGTTTTCTTCAAATCCACTGAAAGCGTCCTATCCATGTTAAGAGTCCACATATATTCACGAACAATTCTTCTTTCAAGAGAGTAAAATTAAACCACGGTTGCGACGAAATGGTCTCCGATCACAATTTGAAATGAATACTCCTGAATACTGAGAATTGTTCACAATAGAGCTGAAATCCACGAAAGTATGTGAAATATGTCTTAAATTTCACTTTTTAATACGAATCCGTGTATTTTCTTTTTAATGAGCGTCAGCTTTTATTCCAAGAATGTTCGTTCAACTCAAATTATGCTAGGCATCAGTTAAATCAGTTTAGAATAAAAATACTGCTTTTGTATTTTGAGGTGCCAGTGACTGCTTCCACACTCAAATTACTTTCCTTGCCCGCCGCAGCTGCTACTTCCGAATAGCTGAGGCAAAAGTAGAAGTAGGACTGTTCGGGAGGGCAAAAGTACAACAGTCCCTTTTTAGACTTATTAAATCAATCATCGGAACTGAACACACAGGCCGAGCGCCTTTCCATTGGCGAAATTCCCCGTTAACCATTTGTTCAAGATGCCGCCTCCCGGGTGCCACGGCCGTTTGGAGGGGGGGAGGGGCGCGGGGTGTTTAGGCCCCGCGCTGATCCCCTTACCGCTCGTACGTCCACACACTTCTTGTGCGCTTAATCGCGAGAATTTGGTGGAAAACAAAACGTTGGGAACAGAGTTGCAGTGTTTTTGCGCTTTTTGCTCCAGATTTGGGACGATAAAATCCACAAAACGCACTTTTCACGAACATATTCTCTTTGTACGCTGGAAATCAAAATCACATTTTTATCTGAATTTTTATCAACACAATAGAGTTTCCATGACAAAGAAGAAAAAACTCCCAGTATTTTTTATCCCCGATATTTAGCTACGTCGTTTATTTAAGCAACGAATATACATTCACCGCTGGGATCCACGGGGCTAATTTTCATTTCACCAACGTTAAGCATCAACTTGCCCTATTTTCGTAATCTAATTATTAATTCCGATGTCGGTGAACGATCACAGGAGTTTTAAATTCGATTTTCAGCGTCAATAAACGTGATGTAAATGATTTTCGGGATACGAGGAAAAGTTTCCCAACAGGCTTCTTCGCAACTCGCCCAGAAATCCGTCAAGTCGGCGATCTCCTCCGCTCGAGGAATCAGGCGCCCGACCGCAAGCGAAAGAAACGGCGCTCGGCTGCCAAGAGACGGCGCGGCGGCGGCCCGCAGGGACCCGGCTGGGCCATCACAGAGCGAGACGGCGAATGCACCCCTCAAACGACCCACGGGCTGTTAGCACACACGCCTTCTTCCAACTTATCGAACTTCGACGAATTTCGAGGCGGCGCGGGGATGAAAGATGCAGAAACTGTTCATTCCCTCGCGAAGTAATTTAACTTCTATTTGAAACTGCAGCAAGACCATGTCCTTCACCATTTCGAGGAGTGTTCCAAGGACCCGTGATAATGCAGGAAATAGTGTTGTGTCAACTTGTGGCGGGGGAGGAGGGCGGTAATGAAGTGGAAGTATAGAACCCTGACGCACGGAGCGCGAGCCAGATAAAACTCTTTAGAATGTGAAACTGACATTTTTCTGTGCAACGCATGCAAACAAATGTCCGAGTAATTTTGGATGTGCGAAGAGCAACGCTGTGTGTTCTTCGCCTGTGAAGAAACGCGCTGCAGCCAACAGCTGGTTCCGAACACTACGACAGCGAGCTGTTCTGGGACGGCCGTCGAAGCCAAGAACAGCTGCCAAATCGCGCCGTGGGGCCCGCTGCAACGGCCGGGAGCGCCAGCGAGGCCCCACGCGACAGGACCACGACACGTGACACGCTGCCATACCCGCGGCGAAAGACGCGCCGGGTCGCGGGAGACCTGGAGCCGCGCGTACAGGGAGAGAGAGAAACCTTCCCCGAGGCGTCGACGGCGACCTGCAAGTGGGCGCCGAGGTGGGCAAGTGTGTCAGCGGTGGGTTCCCTCGCTCGTCAGGCTTCGCGTCTCACCGCAACCACGCCACGCCGCGCCGCACCGCCCCACACCGGCCGCGCCACGTCGCTCGTCACGCCACACACGCCACGTCACGCCGCACTGCGTCATGCCCGCTGTCCAATGCACTACACGGGCCAATCTCATGTGGGCCGTGTGTGCGCGGCAGGGCGCTCGCGGCCTGGGCGGCGTGGGCGGCGCCGTGTGACACGCCGGGCGCGTGCACGCTCACCGCCCCCGCCCGCGTCTCCGCCTGTCCATCGCTGCGCTCCGCCTCCACATCCAATTTCCGGAGGTCGCCGAACCGCACAAGCCTTCCGCTCCGCTGGAATCGCTTTTACACCGAATCGACTTGTCCGACGCTAATCAGTGCGCCTCGTTGAAAACGCGCCAACAAGCGACCAAAGACTTATTCCAGGGAGACTTTCACGTCCCAATCTTTATTCAGTGAGGCGAAAAGAATTAAGCACAACTCGTTCGCCAATAGCACAGGAAATAATGCGGACCGTTCATTTCAAACGGGCGTTCAAAACTTTTCACGACTTTTTCAAAGGGAAAAAATTAAAAAGTTAATTAACAGCATCACAATCTGTCTTTTAACGAACTTCGGAACTGGACGCGACAAGCCTACTCAGAAAGCACAAACAGTCGACGGAAGAAAATGAAAATAAAAAAAAAGCAGGAC